CCCTTTCTCGCTGTGTCTCTCTCTGTCAAATAAATAAATAAAATCTTTAAAAAAAAAAAAAAAAAAGAGACCATCCAGCCCAGACAAGATCTCTTCTTTGCATCATTGCACACCCTATTTCTCCCACAAGGATTTGGAAGCTTACATACACCTTAGGGTTGGAAATAATCTTCCTCTTTCCCCAAGAAAACTCAAAGTCCTCTGCTGCACTGAAAAAATGTAAAACCCCTCCTTCACATTCTAAGTAAGCTATGCCTTGTATCAGCAATGACTTCTCAATTAATGTCTTTTCTGTAACACACTCTGAAATTCCTTTGTAGCCCTCACACCACGTTTAGTAATTGTTCGATAAATATGTTCTGAATGTACCACATTTACATAGTCTTTATCCAGTATGAATTCTCTTTTGCTGGCCAAAGGCTGAATGCTCACTAAACGCTTTTCCGTATTCTTTGGTTTTCCCTCCAGCATGGGTTTTCTGATGTTGAGAAAGGGATGAACTCTGGCTGAAAGCTTTTCCACATTCCTTACATCTATAGGGCTTTTCTCCAGTGTGAGTTTTCTGATGCTTTGTAAGAGATGAGCTCTGGCTGAAAGCTTTTCCACAGTCCTTACACTTATAAGGTTTCTCTCCAGTGTGTGTTCTCTGATGACGAATAAGGGCTGAGCGGTCACTGAAGGCTTTGGCACAATCATTGCATTTATAGGGTTTCTCCCCAGTGTGAGTTCTCTGGTGTTGAGTCAGGGCTGAACAGTAGCCAAAGGCTTTCCCACACTCATTACACTCATAAGGCCTCTCCCCAGTATGAGTTCTCTGGTGCTGAATAAGGCCTGATCGATCACTAAAGGCTTTCCCACATTCATTACACTTATAGGGTTTCTCTCCAGTGTGAATGACCTGATGCTGGGTAAGGAATGTGCTTTGGCTAAAGGCCTTCCCACATTCGTTACACTCATAAGGTTTCTCTCCAGTATGAATTCGCTGATGTTGAGTGAGGTACGAGCTCTGATTAAAGGCCTTCCCACATTCATTGCATTCATAGGGCTTCTCTCCAGTATGGATGATATGATGCCGAATAAGGGCAGAGCGGTGACTGAAGGCTTTCCCACATTCATGACATTCGTAGGGTTTCTCTCCAGTATGAATTCTCTGGTGTAGAGTAAGGTGTATGCTCTGGCTAAAAGCTTTACCACATTCGTTACATTCGTAGGGCTTTTCTCCTGTGTGAATTCTCTGATGCAAGACAAAAGCTGAGTAGTAACTAAAGGCTTTCTCACACTCATTACACTTCCAAGGTTTCTTCTCTGCACAAATTTTCTCGTGCCTCATTAGATCTGAATTTTGTTTTAAGTTCTTTTTAAATGAATCACAGTTATGTAGTCTCTCTCCTTGCTGTTGAGTAAGTAATGATCTTTGACTAAAACTTCTCCCAAATTCATCACACTGGTAACTTCCCTCCCCAGAAGATTTCTTCTGAGTGACAACCTCCTGTATTAAATGTTTCTCATGGTTTTCCTCCTGACTCTCAAGAATCCTCACATTCACTGGAACTTTCCTTTGGGAATCTTTCTATTAACACACCAGTGGCTGATTCTTCCTCAGAAATATCCTGCTCTGGAGTAAGCTCCTTGCTTTCTGGTATTGTCTCCCAGTCTGAAAGAAACAAAAATACACATATATCATTTCCTACATGGGAATGAAAAATAACTGCTGTGGTAGGAAAAGAATGAAAAATAAACAAATGAATAATGCTTACAAGAGAACACAGGAACTTGAAAGCTCTCAAAAATAGCTTTGCAATTCTGAAAGAACTTGAGAAAAGAAAGGTGAGTGGGCAAAGAAATGCAATTGCACAAAAGTGAAAGAGTGAGCAGGCACTCAATACTCTTTTATCTAGACAGGTAGGAGATGAGTAAGAATAACAGAAAATAAGACTAGGCAGAGGTCATGTGGGTAAATGGCAGACGAGATTTAAAAATGGGTGAGGTGGAGACAGAAAAGACGGTCTTGCAGGGATTGCCCACTCTTACCCCCTCACTGGAGCCTGTGCACCTCATGCCTTGAGAAAGACCATCGTTAGTTGATCTCCTTGCTACCAATCTTTCCCCATCCCAGGATTTCCCAATCACTGCTAACAGACTAACCTTCAAAACCTTAAAAAAAAAACTCTGTTGGTTCCATGGTCTCAAGATGAGACACTGATTCTCTAAGCTAGCATTCAAAGTGGTCCAGATCAGGGTGCTGGGTGGCTCAGTTGGTTAAGTGTGTGCCTTCTGCTCAGGTCATGATCTCAGGGTCCTGGGATGGAGTCTCGCATCAGGCTCCCTGCTCAGTGGGGAGTCTGCTTCTTCCTTTCCCTCTGGCCCTCCCCCTGCTCTTGTGCACTTGCTCTCTCTCTCTCTCTCTCAAATAAATAAATAAAACCTTAAAAAAAATTAAAAAAAAAACAACAAAGAAACAAAGTGGTCCAGAGCAGCAAATTCACATCATCACAAAGCTTAGTGATTAAGAAGCAAATCAAACAACTGGGTGGCTCAGTCAGTAAGCGTCCAACTCTTGATTTCAGCTGTCATGGTTTCAGGGCCGTGAGATTGAGCCCCATGTCAGGCTCTGCGCTTAGCATGGAATCTACTTGGGATTCTCTTTCCCTCTCCCTTTGCCCCTCCCATTTGTCCTCTTCTCTCTCAAATAAATAAATATTTTTAAAAAAAAAAGTAACTGATCACCTCTGACTGCCCCACACCTAACAAACTTTAAAGAGTTAAATAGAGGGGCGCCTGGGTGGCTCAGTCGTTAAGTGTCTCCCTTCAGCTCAGGTCATGATCCCAGGGTCCTGGGATCAAGCCCCACATCAGGCTCCCTGCTCCGCGGGAAGCCTGCTTCTCCCTCTTCCACTCCCCCTGCTTGTGTTCCCTCTCCCGCTGTGTCTCTCTCTGTCAAATAAATAAATAAAAAATCTTTAAAAAAAAAAAAAAGAAAGAAAAGAAGTATGACTACAAGTTAGGCAACTAACAGCTTCTGCCACAGTAAGCATTAATCAATGCTTATTATCAATACTTTGGCTTTTGCAAGTTACTTAATCATGAGGTTCTGTAAGATGGCTCAGTAAGTTGAACTACTGATCCTGGGATATTTGGTCAATTGCTTCTTCTGCATACTTTGCACAGGTTTTAGACACATGTGTGATGGAAAGGAATCCACATTTTTACATGATACCTATGGCATGTTTTATAGGTTGGGCATCATACAAGGGGACAGATCTTTGATCATCATGGGGACTGATTTTTTGTGGTCTCTGCTACTGGGCTTCACTATAACTCCATTTGTCCTGCCCAAGGTTCCAGATTCCTGTCTATTAACAAGATGAAAGAAGAGAGTGCCATGCTAATTCTCTATCCTTCATCCATTATAATACCAATGTGGTATAAGAAATTAAAACAACTGTGCTTTAAAAAAAAAAAATCTAGATGTGAGGAACCTGTCCTCCTCCTCATCTAAGTGCTTGTGTTCTCTCAGCTGCTCTCTGGAATTATTGCTTTATTACTAAGGAGGAATTCTCAAGATGTAGGTGTGAGGAAGCCAATCTATGTCTCCACTGTGTAGGTGTGGATAGGACAGTCTGCATTTTGGTTTCACAGATACTGATGTTCTGGCAAGAAGGACATCATGTCTAATAGGATGCGGTAGCCTGGGTCTCAGTTACATTCTCATGTCCGCTGCTTTAGTACTGAAGGATGACTACTCATGGATGAGCTATACCTGGAGTTAACTTTGGCTTTGTGATATTCTTTGAGACTAGACAAAGCACCATCTCCTGGTTCATTGTAGCTGACTTCTTCAGCCTGGAAACCCACCCATCTGCCATGGCTACAGCCGGCTTGCAATTGGACTTTGAACATTTGGTGTGAATATTTTTCCCATCAGCAATTATACACGAATACATTATGAGAAAGGGAAGGTGTTGTGTCCAGGGTATGGATGGAATGGCAAAACCAGGCTAAGGAATTTTAGTTATCGATGAGATTAAACAAATATAAAACAAAAACACAACCATTAACCTAGAAACAAGGGTGATAGGTTAGTCTACTAGAGCCCAAAGGTCAGGTTAGAGCCAAAGTTCAGGGAAACTAAGGATCCTGAGGGAAGAACAAGGGCATACCCAAACCAGGGCTCCAGAAACCTCCAAGAAGAGTGGATTAAGAGCTAATAGGGCAGTTATAGTGAAGGTATTTACAGTCCTACATACATATTACCTTCATGTTAATTTTCTTACTGAAGTTTCTAGTTCTAGAAACTACTTTTGACTGGGAACTCAAGTTCTCATGACTAGACAGGTATTCATTCATTGAGAAAATATGTAATAAGTGGCAGGCACCACACTGGGGACACAGCAGTGCACAGATATGAAATAGTTCCCATTCTTATGGAGTGGTCCAGAAATTAAAAAAACAATTATAAATAAATAAATAACGTATGATGCTTATCTTAGGGTCCCCTTCAAACACTTACAAAACATATTGATTGGAGAGCTTCTGACCAATCTGGGGATCCTCAGAGTATTATACTAAGTATGAGGCATCCAAGGGGAAGTCTATGGCATGGTCCATTAAGACTATTTACTGAGACTCTAGTATCAAATGGAGGCATGAGAATAAGCAGCAGGTAGAAGGTGCTCAAACACAAATCTTCATTATCTTGCACAAAAGTGGCTTAAGTTCCTGTGGGGGTCCCTTGCCGGGCTGAAGCACCTCTGTGATAGTCTGAAGCCCACCTGGCATAACGTCGCTGATGTTGGATGATAGAGGACTTGCAATTGAACATCTTCCCACACACGCTGCATTCGTAGGGCTTCTTTCCAGTGTGCACTCTCTGATGCTGAGTAAGCGGTCTCTTCTGGAGGAAGGTTTTCCCACATTCGGTGCATTTATAGGGCTTGTCTCCACTATGAATTTTCTGATGCTGATTAAGGGATGAGCGGTCAAAGAAAACTTTCCCACACTCATTACATTCAAAAGGGGTCTCTCCGGTGTGTGCTCTGCGGTGGTGAATGAGGGAGGAGCGGTCAAACAGGGCTTTGCCACACCCCCTGCATTCATAAGGCCGCTCTCCAGTGTTAGCGAGCTTGTGGCAAGCGAGGATGCTTTTCTGGCTAAAGGATTTCCCACATTCTGTATACTCGTAAGGACTTTCTCCAGTATGAATTCTCTGATGGCGGGTAAAAGATGAGCGGACAAAGAAAGCCTTGCCACATTCGTGACATTTAAAGGGCTTCTCTCCAGTATGAGTTCGCTGATGTTCGGTAAGGGTTAATCGGTCATAGAAAGTTTTCCCACATTCATTGCATTCAAAGGGGCTCTTCCCAGTGTGAGACATCAGGTGTTTCTTAAGACTACTTCTATAGCTGAAGGCTTTCCTGCACTCCTGACAGTTATAAGGTTTCTCTCCAGTGTGGGTCCTTTGATGACGAGTGACGGATAAGTGGTTATATAAGGTCTTCCCACATATGCTGCATTCAAGGTTTCTCCCCTTACTGTTGGTTTTCTTGGCAGGAGTGGATCTTTGCGAGTCTTCCTTGGGGGAGGATTTCTTCAAAGTCTCCCCTGAAAGATGTTCTTTCTTGGTGCCCTCAAGGTTTTCTGGGCCAAGTACAGGACCCAGAGGACCATCTTTTCTGAATGTTTCCATTAATGTCTTTTGTGACTTTGCTTCTTTAGAAACATCCTGCCTTTGAGTTGAGTCCTGGCTCTCAAGTCTAGCATTCTGGTCTAAAACAAATAGAAATTACAGATATAACTGGGTCTTAATATTAGTGAAAAAAAGAACATTATCTATGTTAAGAAAAGAATGAACAGGGGTGCCTGGGTGGCTCAGTCAGTTAAGTGTCTGCCTTCGGCTCAGGTCATGATCCCAGGGTCCTGGGATTGAGCCCCAGTCGGGCTCCCTGCTCAGTGGGGAGTCTGCTTCTCCCTCTCCCTCTGCCTCTCCCCCTGGCTTGTGCTCTCTCTCACGCTCTTTTCTCTCTCAAATAAATAAATAAAATCTTAAAAAAAAGAGAAGAATGAATACAAAATACTGCCTGGTTTATTGATAACTCCTCAAAAGAAAAACATCACAGAGAGGCTGAAAAATGGCAGAGGAGAAGAGAACAGAGAAGAGGAGTAGAAGGTGCACAATTAGCCCGCCAAACAAGCTTCTGTTGTTCATTCATTAGATATTTACTAGGTGCCTACAAAGTGCTAGGTACAGTAGAAGTCATGGGACTCTACTGAATAAGAGAGACATGATCCCTGCCCTCATGATGCTTATATTCTATATGACAGAAGACAAAGAGTAAACAAATAAAATGTAACAGATATGGTAAGTCCAGTGAAGGAAATAATGAATGGAAGTTGGAGTGGGGTCTTCTTTAGAGGGAAAACTTAAGAATGGTCATCCGGAAGATATATTAACCATGCGAACAACCAAAAGAAGAACATTTCAGGGAGAGGTACATGCAGAAAAACAGGGGATACACAAAGAAGCATGGAAATGACTGGGCAGTTTATTACATGTCAGTGAGTTTAAACAGCAGAGAGTAAGTGGGAAGACCAGCTAGGACCTGAGAAAGTGAACTGTCAATGACAATGGCTTTTAAAGGAAGAGGAAGAGATATGGTAAAAGGTAAGTAGGAAAGATAAAAAAGTATTATCAGAGTTAAATACAAATAGGTCTCAACCCTCCCTCAGCCTCCGACCCCAAAACCCCCAACAGGTGGGACCTTGATACCTGTTTGTTCATATGACAAATACCTGAGTGTGTGCTATGTACCAGGTACTGTTCTAAACACTGGGGATCCAGTAGTGAACAACATAAAACCTCTGATGGAGTTTACATTTTCATCAGGGTAGGTATGGACAAACACGAAACAAAATAAAGAAGTAAAAATATAGTATGTTAGGAAGACACACCTGAGAAGAGAGCTAAGGTAGTGCAGGGAAGGAGGAAAGAGATGGAGAGAGTTCAATTACAGATAGGGTCGTCAGGGCAGGCCTGACTGAGAAGGCAGCATATTTGAGCAAAAACCTGAAAAAGGTGACAAGAAAGCCACGTGGCTACCTGGGCATAAGTTTTCCAGACAAAGACCCAGTATAGAAGTGACCCTCTCCATAGGCCTATGACTAGCACAAGGAGTGGTCTCTAAGTGAACTGTCCAGCGAAATCCCATCTACCCAGTTCACACATACCTAGGAAAGTGCTTCCTGGGACTTCACTTTCTTCATCTTCCTGAAAATCAAGTTTCCATGGCTCTTCACCTCTCTTCAACTGGAAAATCACATCAGGTTTAGGAACTAGAACTCCTGCTCACAAAGGACAAAATGAGAAATGGCTGTTTGGGATGGAAATTCACAACTATCCCAGGGTTTAATAAGATCCCCTTACTCTCTAGAGAGGAAAATGGAAGTATCCAAAAAGCATATGCTAATTTCTAAGATAAGATGCTAATTCTCCTTCTCTGAAGGGAAGTCAGTACTGACTTTCTAGAAAGTCTGAATTAGATCTATTGAAGTAGTTCACTAATTTTTCTCTGATCTAGGAACCTCCCCCAGATGGAACGAGTATTCTTGTGAGTTGAGGGGAAATTCTTAGCTTAGAGAAGTAGAATATGGAGAAGGTTCTGCACTTCAAGGAACTAAGGTGAAGAAGCTATCCCATTTTCTTTTGTAGTTTTTTAAATAATAGATTTGTATCCCTTAATTATACTTCTGTGCAATTATACTGAATTTGATCCAACTACAAATCAAACTAGAGCAGTTTAAGAAATATATTCAACTTATGTGCAGTTAATATTAAAGACTTAAAACTGAAAACATTAATAAACAATTTTTTAGAAATTCTTAAAAAGAAAAATTATAATGTCTTTGGTTTTTAATGATTTAAAGTAGTGACATTTATAAATGTCATATATATAAATTTATTTAGTGACATATATAAATTTTCTACATTTAGTTTTTAATTGCACTATTAAATGTTTAAGTGCACAAAAGGCATAAGGACTAAAACAAACACCTATGAACCCATCTAACTTAATAAACATTAATACTAAGATTGAAGCCCCTCCTTCATCCCCTCTTCCTCCCCCACCATGAGGCAACCACTATACTAACTTTGGTGTTAATCACTATGCATTTAAAAATGTTTCCTCATCTTTGTAGTTTTAAAAATATTTCATGTTCAGGGTGCCTGGGTGGCTCAGTCAGTTTGGTGTCCAACTCTTGATTTCGGCTCAGGTCACGATCTCAGGGTCGTGAGATCAAGCCCTATGTCAGGCTCTGCGCTGAGCATGGAGCCTGCCTGGGATTCTCTCTCTCTCCCTCTCCCTCTGAGCCGCCACCCCCCAACCCCGGCTCGTGCACACACACACACACTCTCTCTCTAAAAAAAAAATTTTTTTAATTAAAAAAAATATTTCATGTTCATTGTAGACAATTAAAAAATATAAAAAAAAGAAAAAGTTACCTGTAAGCCTACTAGTCAAAGATAATTAGGGGTAAAATTTTGGTGTAGATTCGGGCGCCTGGGTGGCTCAGTTGGTTAAGCGACTGCCTTCGGCTCGGATCATGATCCTGGAGTCCCTGGATCGAGTCCCACATCGGGCTCCCTGCTCGGCGGGGAGTCTGCTTCTCCCTCTGACCCTCCCCCCTCTCATGTGTTCTCTCTCATTCTCTCTCTCTCAAATAAATAAATAAAATCTAAAAAAAAAAAAAAAAAAATTTTGGTGTAGATTCTTCCAGACTTTTCCTATGCATATAGATATATGTTGTAAATGTACTCAGGTTCCAATCATTTCATATACTGCTTTTATCATTTAACAGGATATTATTAATATCTTTCTAACTCTATAAATATCATTCATGGTCAAGGCCCATGTGGATGTACAATGTACTCCATTATGGATGTACAATGATTCATTTACCTAAATCCCTATTCCCAAGTGCCTGCGTTGTTTCCATTGTTTTCCAATTTTAGGAAAACAGAGATAAACATATATCTGATTTCCCCCCCTTATTGAAAATTCCCAGGAAAGGGGGTACCCATTTTCCATTTTATATAATACAATTTTTTGCTTAAAGCTAGGGTCTCAGACCAAACTTCACTTATCCTACAGATTCTGTCCAGATCAAAAAGGCCATTTACTGACAGTACTGACAGCTATTAGTTAAACACAAACAACAAAAAATAAATAAACCACTTACACCCTTCCTGGGGATCTATCCGAAGATGTACAATTCTGCCCCAGTAAGAAAAGAAGGGCGGCCATCTTCTTCACACACACACCCAATGGCAGATTCTGAATCACCAAGGAAAGTCATGCTTACCCAAAGAAACAAAACCCTGATAGTTCTCCAGCATCACCTCCCTGTAAAGAGCCCTCTGAGTAGGGACCAGTTGCTTCCACTCATCCTTTGAGAACTTCACAGCCACATCCTTAAACTTGAGTGACTTCTGAAAAGACAAACATGTTCTTACTCACCTATGTGTCTTCTTTTATGTCTCACTGAGTAAGAGAAAAGAATACAGCACCGGAGGATATATGAAATAAAAAAGAAATGATTTTAATGATGTAAGAGCACTGGATACTTTACATAAGAGGTACAGGTCTGAGGGGCACCTGGGTGACTCAATCAGTTAAGTGTCTGACTCTTGATCTCAGCTCAGGTCCTGATCTCAGGGTCGTGAGTTCAAGCCCTGTGTTGGGCTCCACACTGGACATAGAGACTACTTAAAAAAAAAAAAAAAGAGGGGCGCCTGGGTGGCTCAGTCATTGGGCATCTGCCTTCGGCTCCGGTCGTGGTCCCGGGGTCCTGGGATCAAGCCCCGCATCAGGCTCCCTGCTTGGCGGGAGGCCTGCTTCTCCCTCTCCCCCTCCCCCTGCTTGTGTTCCTCTCTCGCTGTGTCTCTCTATCAAATAAATAAAATCTTAAAAAAAAAAGATGGGGTACATGGGTGGCTCAGTTGGTTAAGCGTCTGCCTTTGGCTCAGGATTGAGCCCTGCGTTGGGCTCCCGGCTCAGTGGGGAGCCTGCTTCTCCCTCTCTTTCTGCCCTCCCCCTTGCTCATGCTCCATTTCTCTCTCTCTCAAATAAATAAATAAAATCTTAAAAAAAAAAAAAAAAGAGGTACAGGTCTGTGACCTGAGGCATGAAACTCTTGGTGATAGCCTCATGTCATATCCATGGCAGAGCCTCCAAACTTCAGGGACACTGTTATTAGCCTCAATTTTTTAAATCATAAAATTAAAGAATTAGATTAGATGATCTTTAAATTCCCTTTCAGCTCTAACACTCATGGATCCATGAGGATCTCAGCCTGAACAACTGATTCTCAAGTCAAGGGAAGATCCATGATAAGTGTACAAGGAACGGAAGATACTGTTAAGAACTAAAACAGGAGAAAAAAGATAAAAAAATATGGTGTCCCTTTGAAAAGAATATAACAGTCCAGACTAGAAGATTCAGAATTCTTATATTCTCATGAGAGTTCTCTAAGCACTCCCTGAGCTCACTGCTAAGGGCAGAGCTGCCTCAATCCTCTGGTCCCCAACCATTACAAAAGACATGATGGGGCCGGTCACCAAGGCGTTATGAAGGGCCATTCAGAAGGAAGATCCCTACAGCTGTGTTGTATGGTGAGAAAGAAGAGAATCTGAAGCCAGCAAACATTCTCGTCTTCTCTTCAGAGCCCAACTTTTACCATAATGGGATGAATCTCCAAGGCTTGCAAAGAAGCTCCGGACTGAAGAAAATCCAACTCATCTGCCATCTGGCCGCCATTCTCTCCTCCTCTATGTTCTCTTGGAAAAGGCCCAGGCCAGAGTTGGCAGAGCTAGAGAAGGAAACATGAAAGAGACCAATTGCATTTTGTAGTTCTCTGACCCAGACTAAAAATCTCTACATATCAATTAGGTATGAAACAGCCCTTACTCTCAATACTCTACGAAGAGCAAAGCAAGCCTAGAAGTAAATTCATTTCCCAGGAGATGGAAATTATGGATATTGCCATAACTCTGTTCCTGAGTTAGCAGCTTCCTGGGAACAGAACCCACACCAGAAAACTATTAAAAAATCAAACAGTTTACAATGAAGTTAATTTTACCCCGTTTTATAAATCTATAATAAGCATTGTACTCTGTAGTATTTTGACATAAATAAGCAATTTAATAAATAACTCAATTTGACTTTTAAGTTCAAGATGACCAGGAAGATGCTTATACGAACACTTTTTTTATTTTTTATTTTTTT